TTACGTGGAAACAGGATTGTGCTAAAAAAAGGTGTACATTCTGCTAATTAAGTCACAGCAGCTTTGAGAATACTAGCCTGTGGCTGTTCGGCCGATTCATGGAATGAAACGTTTTGCATGGGCGAATCTACAGTTTTAGAAGCATTGGATAAGTTTACCGAAGCTGTAATAAAACTTTATGGACCTCACCATCTATGTCTCCCAACAAAAGAAGACATGGAATCAATTTTGGAGATTAATGCGGCGCGTGGGTTCCCTGGCATGTTGGGATTCATAGACTGTATGAAGTGACAATGGAAAAAGTGCCCTAGCACCTGGTGTGGAGCTTTTCAAGGCGCCTCTAAAAAGACCAGCTGTCATTTTGGAGGCCATCGCTACTGCTAATTAGCATTTTTGGCATGCTTGTATTGGTATGTCAGGTAGCAATAACGACATCAGTGTGCTAGTTGCATCGCCAATTATTGCCGAGTACGTAGATGATAGTGTACCTCAATCTTCGTACGAGATATGTGGCTCTACCTATGACTTTTCTTTTTACTATTTAGCGGACGGTATCTATCCAGATTGGAAGTGTTTTGTAAAAACCACATCGGCACCCGCAGACGAGAAGCAGCAGAAATTTGCATCGTGCCAGGAAGCACTTCGTAAAGATGTGAAACGTGCAGTTGAAGTCTTACAATCTCGGCTTGCAGTTGTGGCTAAACCTTCACGGTGCTGATCCTTAGAAAAACTGAAGAAAATCATGCACTGCTGCATTATGCTTCACAGCGTGATGATTAGTGATGACCTAGCAGCCAGAATACTTCCCATTCTGTTTACGCGTACACAGGTTCTCGATCTTGATGTCGACGTCACAAATTTCAACCATTTCCTATTCACGCATCAGGCGCGTTACCTTCTTCGTTTATAGAGAAGTACAGAATTGCAGTGAATTCCGCCTCTAGCTTTAAGCTAAAAAAGGATTTGGCTGAGCACGTTGCATCTAATAATTAAAGAGAGAGATAAATTTACCTTATTTCATTCTTCCATCAGCGTTTGTTTCCTCATCTGCTCTAATACTTGTTTTTGCTTACGTAAGAGAAACTCTTTGCCAAATTCTGAGAGCCCTTCCGTCGTTGCGCATATCATTGACATTTCAGCTTGCTCTTTCAACGACAGCTGCTGATTTCCCGTCAGATCCACCTTTCTTTTCGCTATCTGGAGCTGCTCTTTTAATAATTTCACTTGTGCCGTAGTTGCTGCGGCCAATTCTCGTTGCGAGTGCATTATATCTTTGTCGGTTTGTCCTTCTAAGTGAAGTTGCTTCGCTTTCTTTTTCCCTGCGGACGCAGGACGTAACAAAAGACCGATTACCAGCAGAAGACTGAATGATATCAGCAGAAAGAGCAGGAACATCATCATCAGCGACTGAGTCAAACTCCGCAGTGTTACTAGAGGTATTCACATGTGCAAGTAAACAAATAAATTAAAAATAAATAAATAGCGACAAAAACTAAAATTATATAAAGTGCACCTTCAGCTCCCTGTTCGTACACCTCAAATTCATTTTGTAGATGAGCTCCCTTACGGGGGCGTGGAATGAAGCGCGCACTTCCTTTGAGAAAATCGTAACAATGGTGCGGACAAAGAGCTTCAGCCCGAAGGTGCGGCTTTCGCTTGCTTTTGGCACGACCAGACTTCACAGCTTCCTCACGTTCACGTAATGCATTAGCATTTAACTGCTCTCGCTTTGCTGTAAAGCGATTGGCAGCTTCGTCCGAATATTCTTTGTCTGTCGAGCCACTGTGTGCTTCAGCTTGAATCTGTAGAAGCAGTATGTGTGAGGCATTAGTGCACATTAATGTGTATACAATGTGACTTCGGCGTATACCACGACCATGCAGGAGGCATAAAGGGCAACGTCAGGTCTAATAAGTCCGGCCCATCGGCTTTGCAGAGCCCCTGTTTTTCTTGTAGTTGCGCTGTCTTCTCCTGGCTGACTATACTTCTGATGAGCTCGGTCCCAAAAATGTGTCGCGTCATGGTCGGTGCTGATGCAGCCATCCTCGGAAATGTTGGTGTAGGCTCTGTAGAGGCGGATGTCCTCTTTGTGACTCCACGGAGCTGCGTTGGGCATCGACCTGCCGTCTTCGGGATTGAAGATGGGAGTTTCAGTGTGGTGAAATTTGTAGTGTAGGAGCCTTCTATTCACTTTGTCTCTTTCGTAGTGCACGATCAATTTCGTGTGGTTACTTAATAGTTACTTTGTGTTCCCTATCAGCTCGCCGTTGGGATTCCAGTTTTTGCAATAGCTCACTTCATGTGTATTTTTTTGCGTAGCTTTCAGTACCCTTGGATGTGCTTTAAACGATATATAGACCATATACATTTGTTTAACTACATTGTTAATTTTAGCCAATCGACGCCGCCTTCGCTGCGCTCGGCAGCCAGTAGAACGCACGTATTTGCGCTACATTAGCTAGCCCTAGCCACAGACGGAAGGACGCAGACCAGGCTGCACTAGAGGGAGAGACTAGCCACCACCGCTGCGCGGCGGGGTGACATGGTTTGTTGGAGATGAGATGGCCGCAATTTTAAGTACTTCGTGGTATCGTTTGCTTTCGCTTAGGAACCTGTACTTCCAGGTTGCGTCGTCCGCCCCCGTACGTCGTGGTTTCGTGTAACGAAACCATTTATCAATCCGCTGTCTCATGTGGTCCGTACAATGTCGTGGCTTTGTACGCTTCCGTTGCCCCGTACTACAGGTTGGACTTCATGCTCTTCCGTGTCTCGCTTGCTTTGTGATTCCCTACTCACCCGTAGCCCACACTGCTTTGTGGCCAGACATTTGCGCTTTTGGTTTCATGCTCACCCGCGCACCCTTCACGAAGGCTTAGTTATTCCCCAGTAGCCCCTACTGGTCTCCGGCGTTCTCCTGTCCTCGGGATACTGGCTTCTGCCAGCGACCCTTGAGGACGGGCTTGGGGAAAGCCCGTCTGCGGAGTCTTTCCGCGGGGCAGTCGCGCTTGAAGTGGCCCATCTTCCCGCAGCCGAAGCAGCAAATATCACGCTGCTCGGCGGACCGGAGTTCCATGGGAGCTGGTCCGTTGGGGCTCGCTCGACCGGCAGTCGACAAAGAACTCACCAGCCATGCTGAGGCCGGCGTACGCGCCTGGCGATGGCTGTATTCTTCTTGAAGAGCCACTTTGATCGCCTCTTCAAGGGTGTTTGCCTGCACCCGGAACAGCTGAGTGCGTGCGGGGCCCACTCGAAGGCCGTCCATGAACACAGTCATCTTGATGTGTTCATTGAGTGGGTTTCCCACTAGGGACGCCGTGAGCTCCCGTATCTCTTGCACATACTCGTGCAGTTCGCGTCTTCCTTGTTTACACGCGAGGAAGCGCGAACGCTGGCGGTACTCGTAGTTCGCCGGGAGGAACGCGGCTCGGAGCTGTTCGCACAGCTGAGCCCAGGATGTGAAACATCCAGGGGATGTCGCTTCCCGAGTGTACACCCAACTCTTAGCACGACCGCTAAGGTTGGAGAGTGCAAAAGCAACACGCAGTTGCTCGGTCGAGATCAGAGCCGCGTCCATCGCGAGCTCTACTTCTCGGACCCAGAAGTGAAGGTTCTCGCCTTCCTTCCCTTCATACGGCTTTACCTTCAGCCGTATTGGCTTCGGGTGAGGCGGATTTGCCTCCGCCGCCGGAGCCTGCAGGTTCTCCCGCACATGCGCGATGAGCCCCTGCTCGTACGCGTCAAATGCATTGACGCGCTCGAGCTGCTCGGCCGGTGTTGACACCACCAGGCTCTGCAGGGCCTCCATCCCGAAGATGCCTGCCATCTTTCGAACCGACTCGAACTGAGAGTCGTTCATATGGGAGAAGTCGTTCCTATCCATGGCAACGAACTTCGGAGAGGTTCAGGTAGTCTACCCGCGTTGGCGTCGATTGACTACGAGTGCTACCAAGTGCGACGGGGTCACACAGCACCTTGCGCTAGAGGAAGTTGGCTCCCGAGAGTATACAAACTATCAGTGAACGGCAGCTCACAGGCCCCCTTTTACCGAAAGGAAGCGAAGTGACCAAGATAGGTTGTAAACTGAGTATATTCATAGGTAGGCTAAGCTTGAGTTAAATAAACAAACTAAAAGTCACCTATAGAAAAGCAATGTCATCAGCCAAGGGCTGGCCTCGGACGACCTTGGTACCTTGTACCAAACATCTCGGAGTATGACGTGTCACACTTCATGTGACTAGGGGTACACTTATAGCTACGTACCCCGTTACAAATGGGGGTAACGAGCGTCTGCATAGGGAGGATAGCGGACAGTAGACCTGAGAGATAAAGTAAATCGCTCAGTGATGGCTGTTAGAGCTCATGCTGAAAAGCCTGAAGCGCAATATACCTCAGCTTCAATTAACTAATAATGTAGTAAGAATAAGATTAAACCTGTTCAATTTACCAAATGAATGTGTTTTTGTTTAGCGATAGGCAGCATTCACTTTATATTTATACTTGTCGTAAATCACAGAAGGAACACGGTACTTACCTAACCTCGTTGAACATTATTGGTAAGAAAAAACGCTAACCCAATGTGACTGGACAATTATGTGTGTAGTGAAGGGGATTGGCTAATTCCATGCATACCAAAATCAAGTTTAGTCGGATACATAGTCATATTCAACCATGTGCCGAAACTATTGTCAATCCCTGCTTACTACGAAATACCCGTTCTGATTTGTAGCTATAATAAATGGCGTGATTCTGCTGTGAAGTACTCGAATAAACTGATCTTCTGCTACTAATACGACAGTCATAAGCTATTATGATAGTACTTAGGCATTCACGTGTTTCAGATAGTAATCATTCCATTTAGCTTACTATTTACTAGTAAAATTTGGCCTTTTCCTTTACAACTGCCAAACGTCTGCCCCCTTTACGAGTAGCGTTAAGATACGGATTCGACTGTTATTCTCTATTTCAATTGTTTATTGATAAAACTTACAACAAATAAGCTGCTACCCGCTCCGTCGCTTCGGCGTCATGTAGTCTGATCCGTATGCCTTCTTCAAAAAATATTTGGGATCGTGTACAGTGTCAAATTCCACTCCGTTGATCGTCACCTGCGAGAAAGGTTTCACTTTGCTGTCGGGGAGAGCGCGGCCATGGTCTTGTTTCCAGAATTCCACATTCCACGCGCCATTTATCTTCTGCTCCATCTTGTACAGGTCCAAATAGGGCACTACATAGTCCTCGGTGATAGGCAAGTCAGGGTCGTACAAAAGCCCAGCCAGAGGGTGCGTTGGGGCAACGCATACTCGCCAAATATTCATGAAAAACATGTGATAACCCTTCCGTCGGAGAGCGTCTATCAACACTTCCTCGTGATGCAAGTCACCGACGAACCCGATGTCGGCGTCTTCGGTAAACGGGATCAACGCCTTGTTACGTACAGCACCCAGTAGCGACCCGAACGCGAGGAACGGAGTGCTCCCAGTAGCTTGAAGCTCTTCGTAGACCTCGACTAGCAGCATATGCAGCACACTAGCGTAGCATATCGACTTGGAGGAGCGAAGATTGAGCAGATCCAAGCGGTCTGGAGTCTCGCAAAACGGTGTGTCCTTCCGACGGGAGATCGGCAAACAGTAGCTGTACTTCTTTAAGTTGCTGGACCAGTCACTGTAGAGACTGGTGTGGTCGTTGCGGAAGACTGGCTCCGGTAGACGACCCATGTCCTTGAGCTCGGAGTAATATCTGTCGTTGGAGTGGTACTCAACGGTGCTCGCGTTCACCGTCGACGCGACACATATCCCCTGGTAGTTTAACAGCATGGACGTAGGCGAGTGTGAGACGATGTTGGTCTCCATTACGACGTCGAAGACCACGAGACCAGTCAGTAACAATGCGATGGTCGGGATCACCGTGAGTAGCGTACAGAAACATTTGCGTCTTGTCTTGGTGCTGCTGATGAGCTGCTTGTCCCCAAACTCGCACACGCTTCCTGTTTTATCCATGACCACGTCTTGCCACGTTCCCTGCTGATTGCAAAGTGGTAGAGTGTGTACCCGAGTGTCTACCCCACCACCCGAACAGTGAATAGTCAGAGCGCCCGCCTCATTAATTGTCACCCATACCGATGCAGCACGTTTTTGCACGATAATAATCATTGAGAGTTGCCTTTGTATATTCATCTGTTGGCATTGCCTACTTGGCAACAGACAACAGACTGTTGAACTCTGAAGACTTGATAATCTCAGCCAGGATAAGACCATTACTTTGAAGTACTATCGATCATAATGATCTTCGCTATTAATAGCGGGAGAGCTCCTCGAGCGATTTTTTTGGTGCAACACAACAGCCGCAACTCAGCAAGAAACAAAAGATTGAAACACCTTCTCTACAGCTTGTAAGTAGAGTACCTATACTACTACGGTAATATCAAGGCGAAATCAACAAGACGTAGCAGTGTTCGCACTCACTTCCTTCGCAACGATCGTGAACGATCCTCGGCTCGGCACATCTGACACCGTCACATAGTCGTTCGATCCTTCCGCGAAGCCGAAACCATCCCACAACGCCGTACTGTTGGACCAAATGGCGTTCCCGTTGACAGAGATCTCGATCGTCTCGAGTGACTTGCCGAGCGTAGGGACCGAGATCGATCCCGTCGTGTCTTGCGGTGTGGTTATTGTGGCTGTAAAGAAGCTGTCAGCGCTTTCCGTCGTCCACTCCACACAAAACGCACCCGTAGCCAATGTGTATCCAGTCTACAAGTGGCCCACACTCGCTCCAGCGGCGTGAGGGACGAACTCCCACGTCCTCCCCGCATCTTCTACAGGGTTCAGACCGCCTATATGCAACGTCAACGACGCAGTCATCCCCGTGGACCAAGAGTGCGCGTGTGAGATGTAGCTACCTAGATTCGTCTCTACAGCCTCGTAGAACGGACACTTAAGCTCACCAGTGTAATAGAACGCCTCCATCGTGGTGGACTTGCCGAAGTTGTTGAGCATGTAGCTCCATTGACGACGCATAATTGCCGTAGCCAACGTCGCATAGCTTGGGTGGGCTCGCAAGTGCGCATCGATCTCCAGACTCGTCATGAAAGGGGAGATCGAGCCTAGAGTTTCAGGCGACACAGCACCAAACTCATTCCAGCGAGCGGTCAAGCTGTGCGAGATCGTAGCAGCGCGTTCTAGCGAATCCGTCACGTTGAAGTGAACCGCAAGCACGTTGCCATCTTGAGGGTAGAACTCGGCACCGAGAGCTGTTGTGTTGTCCCGGAAGAGTCCCCAATGAATCGTCCCAGAGTTGGGAGTTGACCGCGCTTTTTCAGATCTTTCATCGATCTTACTGAAATGTCCTGCCCCTGGTTAATTGAGTTCCTCCGTTATCCAGTGTGGTCTGCCAGTCTGCCTCTTTCTTATACTATAGCGTCCAATAAATACATGCTGGTTGCTTGTGTTTCTCGTTTTTCCTGTACTAACTTTACTTCTTTTTGTTTTTTTTCCTTTTTATTTT